TACTCCAAAGTGGGCAGGCATGTTATATTTCAAGGACTTCAGGGGTTTAGGTCTTGGCAAATTCGTGAAGGGTCTGGTAGTGAATGCACTGCTTTGGTGGCTCAGGTATTTGTGATTTTTTTTTTTTTTTTGATAACGTTCTCATGTAGTCTATCGGACCAGTGTTGCAACGGAGAGTATATCCTCAAAGGAACTCGCAGATCTATCACCTAGCCAATGTGCCTAACCAGCAAATGCTCTCGCTTCCTACAGTCGGAATCTGATAGCCTTCCTTCCTCGTTGTAGATGACACAGCTCAACCACGTTTCACTGGCAAACGGCTCTTCGCCAGTTGAGACAAGACTTTTCGGGATTTACTCCCTGTAAGTAGTGGTCGCCGATCGTCCATTTAACAGAAGCCTCATTCCGGCGCGACTTGTGCTCACCTCTTTAAAATGGGACACGAACCGTGAGCTTCAGAATCCAGCAGGTCACCCTGTGTTGAGGCGGTCAACGAATCCGTGCCGGAAGCATTTTGTTTTGCCTCACTCTGAGGTTTGAGTTTCGCATCGACGCCGCCTCTGGACCAGAAAACAGACCACCTATGGTGGTATTTGTCAAATTCACAAATTGTCTCCAGTTACGTATCGCTACAGAACATATGTACCGGAGAGAGAATGTCACACCATGACGTGTCAAGAGACCTATCAGCCGCAAAAGGCACTCCAATGCGTTGAAACAAGTTAATATTTGGCCACTTCAAAGTTGACTATGCTGAGGTGCACGAGTAAACACTTGGTTGCCGCCTCTACTGACTGAATCTTACATACACATCATGAAATACATAAAATGACGTCTGTATTCAAGGCTGCCTCATCACGTTCGTAGGTAGTGTCGAGGCTGAATCTGACATCGGCTACGAGGTCTAGCAAGCCCGGCGCGGCTTCTACACCTAAGACGAGAAATCGACGCATGAGTCGGCCGCTCAGTGGTTTGATGCAATTGCACCGGACTGGCCCCGTTTTGTGCCCTTCTCGTCACATCCAGCGCTAAACTACGACGACCATTTGTTCCCTCTCCGACTCCCCGAGTGAGACAGAGTACTCCGAGCCGGACTCGCCTGCTCAACAATCTTCTCAATTTCAACCCCCGTAAACTTGAGTATACCAGCCCGCTTCCATGGCTGCCGTATGACGCCTCACCAGACTTGACAACAAAGCGTTGATGCATACCGCCAGTCCTGTCTATGACGTCTTCTAAGACCCTATGGCGGCAATGCCTCCTGGGTGGTGGCAAGCGGTGATCGACAGGGACGGTGATGCAAAAACGAGGGCAAGGAATTATTGTCAATATCACTGAGAACGACCTCCTCGCCTCATCTTCTTGGAAGAAAGGAGACGGTCAGTTACGTCTGCTCTTTTCCGCCTGTGCAGTCAAACGCCATTTGCTGGCCATGTTGCTCATGCAGACTACTTATTATCCCTATAATGGTACAAACTCGCGGAGCAGATCGTCGGCGCAAGGGGGATAGCCTCGTCCAACCAAGGACAACTACGGTACACCCTGTAGAATACTACTATGGCACAAATCACACCTTTTAAATGAACCCGTCGTAGGTAGGTCGAACGAGATACAAGGGCCGAAGATGGGCCAACCGACCACGTTTGTCGACCGTAGCCGCACCGATTTTGAGGCCCCAAGATATGAATCAGTATCCCGGCTTGGTTGCTTACGGGCAAGATCTACGATCTGAACGCAGCATCTACGCCGACAAATGGGTTCGCAGCCATGGAAACAAGCCGCTGTCAACTCAAGCTCCTCATGCTCAAGCAGATGACTTATAGACCTTTGCTCTGCTCGGCCTAGTGACGCTGGAAAGTATCTCGCTCCGAGTGGCTTAATGCAAATGACACCAGACCTAGCGACTCCATTTTGTGCCCTTTTCAAGTCCATTTACTGCAATCAGCTCCATGAATTGGGCTGTTTGCCTGTCTCGCCAACAAAAACATGACATGTGGTATACATGCGCCAGCTCAACAATCATCTTCATTTCAACTCCGATGTGGTCGAGTCATTCCGGCTTGCTTCCCCGGTTGTTCCATTCTTAGCCCGCATGAGGCTTCACCGGCCGTCTGCATTTGTCAACAAGGCAATGATGCATACGGCCAATCTTGTCCACGCAATCCCTTGGGTGACCGCGGCCTGGGAGGCCCCTGGACCGGCAAAAATCTGCTCCAGTGAGGCTGTACTACCAGTGGCTGTTTTGTAAGCTCCATTATTCCGCACATGAGGGCATGTGTAATGCATCGTGGTAGTTGTATTCGACCACTCGAAAAGGCTGGGGTTGTCTTAATGAGGGTGACAAACAGGCAGAGCCGCCACGATACCCACCTTGCGTGCAGCGGCTATGCGCGGGCCCTGTGATTGCAACCAAGCCAAGCTTCCTTCCCAACCTCGACGCAGGGGTTGGTGAGAAATGTGTGAATGGCACAACAAAGTGTTACACCGGTACTCTGCACATGGGGCAGCTCATTCAGCCAACAAGGTGACCAACTCTGTTTTATTTTTCCG